GGATGTGCATCCCAGTTACTAAAAGGCGGGGTAATAAACATTTTATACCCAAGCAATATATGGAACACCCCTAGTTTTACACATTAATATATACATATATAATTATATATATATATGTAATATTATTAATATTATTAATATAATAATATGTACGTGTCATCCTGAAGTAGATGGAATAGTTCTGGGAATTTTAATTACTACATTCCCATGATAGTGTTGTTTTTGGGAACTGTTTTTATTCCTTCCATCTTTTTTGAATTTTCCATATCTTTAATATTCACCCATATGGGATGCTTCACAGTGTCACATTTTTTCATAGGACTTTCCCTACTTCAGGATGTTTTTTTTTAAAAACGTTCGCGGCGGCTGCCACTGAGACTGCCAGCCGGATGTTGGCTGACGCCTTGCACCTCTTTTCTGGCGACCTGCGGAGGGTGCCGACCTGGTTCCTGATTTTGTTTGGGGGGAAAACCAATGGACAACACCAAACTCCAGTAATATAGATATTCCAAGGGAGTAGAACATAATTTTCATTCATTTTCCCTATGTTTTCGTGGCAAACATGCAGATAAACTCTCTTTTCAGACGCGTTTCATGGCGAGTTGGGCGTCTTGAGCCGAACCTGACAGGCAGCTGACAATCTGTCTCGTCACCCATCCAAGGAGTGCGACAAGATGCGCAGGGGCAACCACTTTCGAGAAACGACAGAATGTACAGAATGTAGAATATTGATGATGAATATTGATAAATATTGATGAATATTGATGAATATTGATGAATATTGATGAATATTGGGTACAGCAAAGTACCGTCATGTTGGCAGTTGGACCAGCTTTTCGTGAATCTTGATGAAGATTTTTTGCTGTACTTGATATTTTTATCTAATGCATTGCTAATATGTGGATCACAGTCCTGAGTAAGCTAACAGCCATGGGTTTTGGGTGTTTTCACGCTAGATGTATCATGATGTATCATCTCTTTGATTCAATCCAGCCATTTTCAACGTTTTAATCCATGATAGCAAAGTATGAATAATGACATATTTATGGTTTTTCTCCTCATGATTAGTGTTTGTTGCTAGATGAGTTTGTTAAACTAGGATTTCCTAAAATTCCATGGTTTATCATCATTTTTCCTAAAAATCCATGGTTCATCATGATGTTCCATCATTTTCCTAGATAGATATTATTTCCCATTTAAAATGTGTCGGGTAATCCTGTGAGGAGGCGCCGTTGGCCTCCATCTCAGAGCCTTCTCAGCCTTCGCCTGCTCCGGGCTCAGTGCAGAAAAGAATCGACATTGCTACAGCTGGAAATGCAATAATATGATATAGATTGATATAGTATAATATTGAATTTAGATATAAAGAATAAGATATATATAATCAATATATGTATATATATATAGATATAATCAATAAAATATATAAATCATATAATACATATACATATACATATATATATTAGTATATATGTCGGTGTATAAATATAGTATACTATACAAACCAAACAGCTGTATTGTATAATATTTTAATATATATATATACTTTGATATAATATACATAGAAATGTCCACTTTCCAAAAATGCAGCCAGTTCACATGGAAAAGCAGGAGTCCTCGCTGAGAAGGAGGTCTACCGAGCCGTCTGCCTGAGCACTCAGTGCACCCTCGGGTTGCCCACATCATTGGCCGTATATACGAGTTGCAAGTTTTCGGAGTCTTGACTGCCTGCTTAAAGATGTTGTGTGTATATATATAATACACATTATACATATTGAATTGGTACATATTAAATATGTTATCATGTTATACATACAAGCATGCTTATATATAGTCTTTTATACTAGAACCCAACACAAAACTTTCGTCAGTGACAAAAAAAAAACAGCATCAAAAAAGGACCCCATTGTTGTGGAACAGGGTCCCAGGTGCGTCACACTTTTCGCGATGGTTTTGAACCAGAATCTTGAAATCTGACCCGACTATTCCCATCCCCTGGGAATAGCTGTCCAGTTAAATGGGGACCCAAAACCAATCGATCGAATACAAAACCAGGGTTTGCGGGATGTTTACTGTATTAGCCAGTTTATTTGTATCTATGCTACATCATTGTGGTGTACCAGTTCACTTGTACTGTATTGATGACGGAGCACCAGGACACCAGGACATACCAGGACCCTACTGAGGTGTCTGCGTCACAGTTGCAACTTCAGCCCTCCAGTCCAAGCAGAGACTTGGGAGGTCCGCTCTGGCTCCTGCAGCAGTTTGTTTCGCACATCTGTTGATATGAAAATATAGAAAGAAGTCCGGACTTACAGGAACCCCTGCCCGGAAGTTGTTTCCGACTTCACCTAGACATTGTGCCCTTGTAATAAGTGCCAGCCACTACGCTCCAGACTGTGGTCAGTGCTGGTGCTCTCTACATGGTGTCACAGAAAATGACCATGAATGGGCCAACTGATGGGATTTGTTGAAAGTGTATATATTCTGGATGTATTCT